GTCAATCCTCCTCTCACAGGAGACATAGGTCCAGCTCACAGGAGGAAACCAGGAGCTCTGGAAGGAAAGGACATAGTTCCAACTCAAATTGTTCCTCTAGCTGTGGCAATTAGGGATCAGGCTCTGGTTCCAACTCGCATCAACATCGGTCTGGTTCTCTTTCCATTTATTTTTTATTCCTTTTTGCTATGCCATAAATAATATATGTTGTAGATTCCTTAATTAGTTCATTGTGAGGTGTTTAAATGAAGGGAGCTAAATACAATCTTTGATTCATTTGAGGTTTAGATTAAGAATGTCTTAGATACTTCACATAACAATGGTTTTTTTCTTCATTTGAGAATTCAATTTATGGAACTCTTTCATGGTTGCAAGTTAATATTATTGTTGATCAATATTGATTCCACTAATATTTGATTAAATTCCCACTCCTGTGAGCCACATGTGTACTTCCAACCTTATGTTCCAGATTAAGAGTTTTCTATGGGCAAAGAGAATTAGACCTTCAAAGCTTGGGTGCATCTTCAATGCTTCTAGAACATAGTCATTACTCATATCTGATTCCTTAGTGCAGCTTTGATAGATTAATCATCAATTTGTTGAGGATTTTGCTCCATGCCCTTTTCCCTCCAAAGTGGATCAAATGGTTCTTTTTGAAAGATAGGAATTTCTCCCATTTTGGTCCAAAGAGCAGAAGTGTGAAGACTTTGAAATTAAAGAAAACTCACTTAGAAACTCTTCCTGCATGGAAAGAAATATTTGGAATAATTCCTGGACTTCTGACTTTAGACTACCTCTTCCTTTTGCTAGCCTTTCCACTTAGAAGAATATTATCTATAAGGAGAATAGAGGGCTAAATGTATGTTACTATTGTATAACTCTTATAATTGATTGTAACAACCTCAGGATTACTGATTTTTCCTTCCTTTATAACATTTGGTAAATTTTAAATTTTGAATTTCATTATAATTGACAATATACAATTGGTTATCAAATAACATGGTCTGTGTCTTTTGTGCTTCACATCAACAAAAGTTAGAAAGTATTGATTCTGCCCAATTGTGGGAAGCAATAGTAGGACTAGAGAGATAGTGGAACACAACAATACATAGCTAGTTATAAGAGACAACTCAAGGTATTCTGGGCCTTCTACAAAATGTAGCACTTAAGCTGAATATTGAAGAAGTAGGAATTCTGGTAGGTGGAGCTAATGGGGGGAATGAAAGTATCATGGACAGTCATTTTTCAATTGATAAATGATCAAAGGATACAAACAAGCAGTTTTCCAATGAAGAAATCAAAACAATTTATAATCATATAAAAAATTACCAGAATCCAATAAGACTATTGCCATTAACAAATTTTAAACTTCACTATAACCAAATTGCATTTACACCAGTAATAGAAAGATGTTTTCCTATTTTAGGAAAACAATTAACATATTTAATCATATTTCAAACCAAATCAACCAAAACCACACATTAATAATGAAAAATCCTTTGACTAAACACTAGCTATTTGTGCTATTTTTAAAAAAATTATATCCCCTGCAAAGTGGATGCTACTATTTTGAGTGTTGTCAGGATAACTCTATGGGTAGCTATCCTCTTAATTCTATCTTCAAGCCCCCAGTGATGTGCTTCCACTTTACAATCAGTCAGTAGTCTCAATTAGCATTTTAACAAAGGCTTTTATTCAAATGACTTAGCAAGGGTAGTAATTACAGAGCATTTTCCCAAAAACCAGGGGTGTGCCCTTCCACAAATACACACAGAAGAGTGGGCACAGAGTTAAAATACAATGGTGGTAACACATGGGTACAGTAAACACACATGGTCGATCAACTCCTTACTTCAGAACTACAAGACCTCTATCTACTTTCTTTCTCCAGAGAGTCCTCATGTTGTTCACCATGAGGGATGACATCAGCAATACATGAGTCTACTCAATGGGCTGGCTTCTCATAGAGTTTGGCATTTGTACTGGATAGCTAGTTCAACTAGTCTTACTTCCTGTATGGTGCAGTATCTTGGCCATATATGTCAGCTTGCCACCAGGCTAGGTCAAGTAGTTTGCTCACCTGCTGCTCTTGATCCTCAAGGGATTCAGCTACAACTCGATTGGGAAATACACATGAGACGGGCCAGAGAGCTACTGGGAGACAATGCTGGACAGGTTACTCTGTTATGGGTTCTTTTTGGGGCGTGGCGTATTGGAAGGATCAGTGTGTTGGACTTCTTTGGCTCATTCCTCTATAGGAAGCTGAAGTCTTCTTCCACCTTCAGCCATGTGGTACTGTTCTTTCTTCAGTTTTAATGTTACAGTGCTCTTTTCACCTGAGTATCTGCAGTACTCCTTTAGCTAGGCAATGACTTTTACTTTTGGATTGACTGAGGCCCCTTCTCTTTGACTCCCTCAGAACCTCATCTTTTAGGTTGCTTATCACTTTCAGGCAGGATGTGGGAAAGGTTTAGTTAGCTAGCTTCTCCTGTTCTAAGAATCTTTCCTGACTCAAAAACCCCTTCTCTTAGAAAAGTCCTGCACCTTGCCTCAAGGGTAGCTAAGTTGCACAGAGGAAAGAGCACCAGGCCTGGAGTCAGGAATACTCATCTTCTTGAGTACAAATCTGGCCTCAGATTTTCACTAGCTATGTGACCCTGAGCAAGTCACTTAACCCTGTTTGCCTCAGTTTCCTCATCTATAAAATGAACTGGAGGAAGAAATAGCAAACCATTCTAATATCTTTGCCCCCCCCCAAAAAAAAACCAAAAGAGTTCATGAAGAGTAAGATAAGACTGAAAATGACTGGACAATAATAACAAATGTTGTCTTAGGGTAATTCAATCAGTTCATTTTCCCATACTCTTGTGGAGACCTTAGGCAGATGAGTGCCTTGAAATAGAGGTATACCTGTGCCCTGTCTCACTCATCTCCTCATCTTTAATTGGTCTATTCAAACCTGAGACTCTTTATAGGAAGGGATTATCTACTTGGAATCTAAAGGATTTTCCAATTACCTTTCACCATCTCATTATCTTAGCTGCTCCAGAAATCTTGTTTTTTGCCAATGTCTCCCCAGGGCACATCACTTTACATCTGTACTAGAGAAAAACTAGAGGCTTTCCCCATAAATACAAAGGTAAAGCAAGAATCCTCCATCTCTCCGCTATTATTTAATATAGTTAGAGAAATGCTAATGGTAGTAACAAGACAAGAAAAAGAAATTAAAGGTACAAATATTTGCAAAGAGAAGATAAAATGTTCTCTACTTTTGAATGACATAAGAGTTTATTGAGATTCCTCCCCCAATCAATTAATTGTAATAATGAATATCTCCAAAAAAACAGTATATAAATTTAATCCACAAAATTTCTACATAGCAGTAAGAAAATCCAGAAGGAAATGATAAAAAGTGAAATCCCATGCAAAAGAACTTCAAAATGCCAAAAGTATCTGGGAGTCATTCTAACAAGAGTCATTTTCATATTTATACAATTACAATTGCAACTCACTCTTTATGAAAATAAAGGAGGATTGGATTAGAGGAATATTGGGCTGTTCCAATAAGATAAAAATGATGATAATATAATAACTAATTTAGAGATTTAGTGCTATTATCATCAAATTGCCAAAGCTTACTTTATTGAGTTAGACAAAAATATAATAAAAATTAATTTCATGGAAGAAATTATTCTGGAATCTTAAGGAAATATTGAGGGAGGATGAATATTTAAGAAGGCTTAAGATTTAAGCTATATTTATTTGGTAAAGATTTTAAAAATAGACCAGCTGAGTATATTTAATGAGAAAGAAATAGAAAAATAGTTAATATTAATATAGGGCTTACTATGTGCCAGGCACTGTGCTAAACACTTTACAATTATCTCATTTGATAGTCACAAAAACCCTGGAAGTAGGTGTTATTATTATCCCCATTTTAGAGATGAGGAAACTAAGGCAAATAGAAGTTAAGCGACTTGGCCAAGGTCTGAGGTGGGATTGGAACTCAGGTCTTCCTGACTCCAGGTCAAGCATTCCATCAACTGTGCCACCTATTGCCAACAGAAGCAATCAAATCCAATCGAGTTTTCTATAAATTCAAGAAAACTTAAGGAAGGGCTCTTTTTTTGACAAGAACTCCTGCAAAACTGAAAGTCATAATGCAATAAATAAATAGATAGATAAATGGATGGTTGGATAGATGGATGGATGGATGGATGGATGGATGGATGGATGGATGGATTGATGAATAAACATACAAACAGATAAATAAATGAATGAATAAAAAATGAATAAATGTGTTTCTCTTACACCACAGACCACAATCGTTTCCAAATAGGTACCTAAATATACAAGGTCAAGTCATTTTTAAAATATAGAGGGATACGGCCAAAGATACCTTTCACAACTATGGCTAGAAGGAGAAATCTTTTGTTTTGGTTTGGATTTTTTGCGTTCAGCTTTTTATTTTTTATTTTAAAATAAATTTTATCCTTTGTTTTTACATCACCTAGATTTCTCCCCATATCCCTTCCACTCCCCTTTCTCAGGAAGTTATTCCATATGCAAAAAGAATTTTTGAAAAAGAAGAAGAAGAGAAAATTTAGCAAAAATGATTAATACATCCAAAAAAGAGTCTGACATTATATTCAGTGTTCGTCATATGTGTATCCTCCTCCTCTGCAAAGGAGTGAAGAGAGATATATTCTCATTTATTTTCTCATCATATACTTCTATATCCTTTCAAGCTTTTTTTTTCCTTTTGAAATTGTTTTTTATTGTTTTGTAATTGTGGTTCTTCCATTTACATTGCATTATGTATATTGTTTCCTGGGTCTTCTTATTTTTATTACATTAGTTCATGTAAATCTTTTCATGATTTTCTATGTAACAGGGACTGGCACTTGGGCAGAATGCCATTGTTGCAATACCTGACATGGAGGAGGCTGAAGGTCTGGCTCTGAGAATGTCTTGATGACAACGGAAGTGCCTTGGAGGGACACTGGAGCATGCAAAGACATTCTGCAACTAGTTCCAATAAGTTAACCATGTGATGAATGGAAGACTCTGATTGGCTATGGATACATTCCAAAAGTACTCATTGACCAAAGCCTTAGCCATTCTCCTCAGCAGCTATCTGTTAGCAGATATATGCTCTTACTTGAACTCCTTTGCTGATGGCATCCAATGAGAGACAATATCATAAGGCAGAATGCCTTGGGAACTTTCCCTCCAGGGGTGATATACATTGACATTTAAACAGGCTTTCTTTATTTGCCTCATCGTTGTGTAGGTAAAGGATATAAATCTGGAGATATCAACATTGTGAGTTTTAAAAGGTCAGGAGAGCAAGCCTCCAAGTCTAAGGGTCTGGGAGCTTATGAGCCACAGCCTACGTCACATTTTATAGCAATCCTAGAATCAAGGAATAGAAGAACAAGGGATGACCTTTGGGACCCCGGCAAGTGGTATTTGAGACAAGGACTCATCTGACAGCAATGCTATATCTGGACATGAAATTGGTGGGCACCAAAGCTATGGAGGAACTGAGCTAAGTTTAAGTCCATTCTCACCCAAAACCAAGGCTATATATTGGATAAAGTGTGCACCCCCTAAGGTGTGGGGGGGACAGGGGGAGAAATATTTGTACTTTTGTATTTGTTCCATCTTCAAAGTAAATATTTCTTTGTAAAAGTTAATCGATGTCAAATGGAACTGGGGTGCTAGTCATTGGCAGCTGAAAATGAAGGGAGCAAAATTAATGGAGGCTTGATATGAATGATGCCATAGGGAAGAGATGCCCTAAACCTTCACTGGTACCCCTAATACCTTGAGGGGAGATGTAGCCAGCCTGACTCTGGATGCTAAGCCTAGAGCAGAGAATACTCAATACATCTATATTCAACACATTTGTCATTTTTTACAGCACAGTAATACACCATTACATTCATAGACCACAATTTGCTTAGCCATTTCCCAATTGATGGGCATCTACTTCATTTCCAGTTATTTGGGGTGTACAGGTTTTCAGCGAAGAATAGTGCCTCTGGTGTTAAGGTTGCTGAGCCCTTTTCGGGGCTGCTTTCCACCTTTCATGTCCACATGATTTACCCAACTCTCACCTGTGGCTCCAAGAAGCTGTAGCACACATGCAGCAGACACCCTGGTAAGCCATTTTGGCACATGGGCTAAATGAGTTTGAGGCTAACCAAGTGGTCTCTGGGATCAATAGTATTCCATTACATTCATGTACCACAACTTGTTCAGCCATTCCCCGCTCGATGGGCATCCCCTCAATTTCCAGTTCTTCGCCACCACAGAAAGAGCTGCTATAAATATTTTTGTACATGTGGGTCCTTTTCCCTCTTTTATGATCTGTTTGGGATACAGCCCTAGAAGGGGTATTGCTGGGTCAAAGGAGAAGCATACATTCTTAAGAAGGGAAATGATATGTAGGTAAATGGTTATGTACAAGATACATGCAAAGCAGACAAAAAAGCACTAGCTTTTGGGAGGACCAGAAAAAGCCTCCTACAAGAGGTGACAATAGATCTGAGTCTTAAAGGAAACCAGGGACAATAAGATGCATAGATGATGAAGGAGAGCATTACAGGCATTGGGGACAGATGTTTGATGTAAAGACACAGAGGTGGAGAGAGAGCATTGTGTATGAGGAGAAGCAAGCCAGTTGGCCAGTATGGAGGTGGTAGAGGGGAGTAAAGTGTAAGAAAACTGGAAAGGCAGAAAGAGGCCAAGTTGTGAAGAGGTTTAAATACCAGAGTATATCTATTTGATCCCAAAGGTAACAGGAGTGACTGGAGTTTATGGAATAGAGGGTGACAGGGTCTTGCAGCTCTACAGAGAACGGATTGCAGTAAGGTAGAGATGGAGGCAAGAAGACTATTTAAAAGGATTATAGCAATAGTCCATCAAGAGGAGATGAGGGCTTAAAGCAGGGGAGTGTCTATGTGTGTAAAGAAAATGCAATAGATATGAGAGATGTTGTGGAAATAGAAATAACAAGATCTGGCTAGTGATTAGATATGTGAAATGAATGAAAGTGAAGAATTCAGGAAGACTCTGAGTCTGTAAAGCTGGATGCCTAGAAGGATAATGGTACCTTTGCCAGTAATAAGAAGAGTAGGTTTGAAGAGAAAGAGAGCTAGGAAACAGATCAAAATGTTCAATATTCATGATGCAGAAGAGGAGTCCTGTAGGGTCTGGGACCACATGTGTAGTTCTGGAAGTCACCTGCCTACAGGTGGATGAGATCACTAAATGAGAGAATATTGAGAGAAAAGAATAAAGGGCCCAAGACAGAGCCAAGACACACCTATGTTTGGGGATGTGGCCTGGATAAAGATCCATGGAAGGAGACAGAACAGTGGTCAGAGAAGTAGGAGAGGAGAATCAAGAGAGAGTATTGATCCCCAAACCTGGAAAACAGAGTATCCAGGAAAAGAAAATGGTTAACAATGTCAAATGCTTCTGAGAGGATGGGACCATTGGCAACAGAAGCCATTATCATACAAAAACCAACTCTAAATCTACAAAAGATTGCTTCTTCTTCTTCTTCTTCTTCTTCTTGCCCATTTTTTTATTTTAATAGTATTTTCTTCCCCCCGTTACATGTCAAGAAAAATTTTAGCATTCATTTTTACAACAGTTTGAATTCCAAATTTTTCTCCTTCCCTCCCCTTCCTTATCCTGAAAATGGTAGGCAGTTTGACATAGTTTATACATGTGTTATCCTGTGAAAAATATTTCCATATTAGTCCCAGGTGTGCAAGAAGAAACAGATTAAAAAAAAAACCTGAGAAAAAATAAAGTAAATTTTAAAATATGCTTCAATCTGCATTCAGAGTCCATCAGTTCTTTATCTGGATATGGATAGAATCTTTTCTTGTGAGTCCTTTGTGTTTGTCTTAGATGACTGTGTTGCTGAGAAGAGCTGAGTCATTCATAGCTGATCATCACACAATGTTGCTGATACACAATTTTGTTTGATGTACAGTATTTTCCTGGTTCTGCTCATTTCGCTTTACATCAGTTCATACAAGTCTTTCCAGGATTTTCTGAAATATGCCTGTTCATCATTTCTTACTGTGCAATAGTATTCCATTACCTTCACATACCACACCCTGTTTAGCCATTCCCCAATTGATGGGCATCCCCTCAGTTTCCAATATTTTGCCACCACAAAAGGGCTACTATAAATATTTTTCACCGATGTAAGTCCTTTTCCCTTTTCATGATGTCTTTGAGATATACATCTAATAGTGGTATTGCTAGATCAAAGGGTATACACAGTTTGGTTGCCCTTTGGGCATAGTTCCAAATTGCTCTCCAGGATGGTTGGATCAGTTCACAATTCCACCAACAGTGCATCAGTGTCCCAATTTTCCCACATCCTCTTCAACATTTATCATTTTCCTGTTTTTGTCATATTAGCCAATCTGATAGGTGTGACGTGGTATCATTTCTATAATCAAAAGTGATTTACAGCACCTCTTCATATTCCAGTAGACAGCTTTGATTTCTTCATCTGAAAACTGCCTGCTCATATCCTCTGACCATTTATCAACTGAGGAATGGCTTTGTTCAATGTAATTTTATTGCATTATAATCCAAAAAGAATACATTTACTATTTCTGCCTTTTTACATTTGATTTTGAGGTTTTATGCCCCATTACATATTGGCGGCCCTTAAAAAAACAGGCCACATTCTAGGATGTGTTCTTAACCTAAGATGCCCAAACTTTAAAATAGATAGATACTTAGATACATGGATAGATAGATAGATAGATAGACACATAGATTAACTAATTTTCAAAACAGTTGGATTCCTTTTCAACCCTATGTATTTTATTTTACATATTTAAAAACTTTCTGAGAAGGGGACCATAGACTTCATCAGACTGCCAAAGAGTTTCATGACACAAAAAGATTAAGAACCCATTTTCTAGGGAGTCAGATGAAAAAGGAGACAGATCACTCCTTAGAGAATGAAAATTGCTCCTTACCTTTGGGAGGGAAAAGGATGGAATTTCTTCCTCCTGTCTCCCACCATTGGCCATGATCTTGAAGTCTGCCCCATAGGAAACACTGTACCCACCAGCAGGTAGGCCTAATGAGTCAAGGAATGAGACAGAAGATGGTTGTGCGTCAAGAGAGAATTCACCCTGGTGATCAGGATTTGAGCTGCTAAGAAGAGGCCATGGAGCTCAGCTGAGTAACTTGCCCAATAGAGATACTGCACCCTCAAGAAGAGAAAGAGCATCAGGTCTCTACAGTGCTAAAGGGATGAGTTACCTCATCCAATGTGTTTGCTATGTATATACTCGTCTGATACTATACTCTACATTTGTGGTGTCAAACTCAGATAGTATTGGAGCCACTAAACCATACTTAAGGATCTCTACAGCTGCATATTGACTTAGAAAACCACAAATTAACATTATCTATTTTTCATAATATTATTATTTTGTTAAGTATTTTCCAATTATATTTTAATCTGGTTTAGATCAAACTCAGGACTGCTGGGGACATGTTTGACACCTCTGTGTCTACTCTTCCTATTGATGCTGTTTGTGATTGTGGGAGAGTGTACTCTGGATTTCTTGGGGGGATGTTGTGTTACTATCATTTGTATGATACCATATTAAATGCCTTTGTTTTAAGCCAATTGTGTCAACTGAGTATTACAGGTATATATGTAGGTAAAGAAAGACTCTTAAGTAATATTCTTAAGAATATAGACCTACAGAATACCTTGAACAGAGTATAGCATCTTCTTTGATACTTGTCCCTCAACTTACACTCTCAGGCTGAGTTAGCAAGGGATCAACTACCCCAGTCCAAGGTACTCTATGGGCACTAAAAGTAAAGGTATAGAATGGGACATACATCTTTAACTTCTTTAACCTCTTTTTTTTGTGAGGGGGGACTAATGTTCTTCCCTGTCACTTCTCTCCAAAATCTAACTTTTTCCCAAGGCACAGGAAGGCCAAAGACTCATTTGCTATGGCACTGTGCAATATTTTATAGTTCAAAAGTGGAGTTCTCTCAAATGAGTCTGCTGCTTTCTGCAAAGACCTTTCCTGTGCCTATGTTTTCCAGAGTAATAGCACCCGAATTAAGGAGATCTGAGAAAATGACTCATTTTTCCTGTTCTTGTCTATTAATGGTCACACACACACACACACACACTCTTGTGGAGTTTTAGACTTTCCAATCTTTTTACCCTACTCTGGGATTCTTCTCTCAACCTTCCTTTTCCCCCAAGCCAGCTGATGTGACCCAGAGTCTGTATAATCTGGCTTCTTTCTTACAGGCACGTTATTCTGACCTATATTAGTTTACTTTGGTTTCCTAGAAGGAAACAACACCATCCAGAGGAATAAAACTATTAAAAAGATGAAACTCGAAACACCTCAGAATAACTTGATCATTTTGATCAAAGTCAATCCTCTTCTCCTTCAACTCTTCCCAAAGAAATAATAGCTGTGTGCTAAGTTATCATTCTCCTGCATAGCTACATAGGCATGCAGATTGACAAAAACACCAACTTCAGCTGTGTCAAGAGAGAATTCATCTGGACTGATCCAAACCTGGAAACAGCTTCTCTGTGGCAACAGCCAGCCCCTGAAGGAAGTCAGGGCTCACTCACCAGTCTAAATTCCAACTTGCCTTCCCTCCTACAGTCTCAGTCACACCTCTACAATGGCCATTCCCAAAGTGAAGCAATGGTTACCTGGCCCAAATCAACATCCCAAATGCCATATGGAAACAGAAGAGATGGTGAGTAATGTGCCTAGTGGTTTTTGGAAGAAAACAGGTCACTGTGACAGAAAGTACTAGAATACCTCTTTGGAGGTCTTCTAACAAAGGTTATTATATTATATATTATTATATATAACAATATATATTATATATTATGCTTATTCTATATTATTACATATTATAAGAGCTAGCATTTATATAATACCTTTAAGGTTTATAAAGCATGTCATAAATATTATCATCTTTTATCCTCATAACAATCTTAGGAGATAGGTATCATTATTATTATTATTATCATTATTATTATTATTATCCTCATTTTACAATGAAAGAAACTGAGGTAGATGGAGCTTAAGTGAGTT